GCAGGGTTAACCCATACTAAGGCAACTATACCAATCTTGACAAAGAAGGTAACACTCTTTGCTACGGCTAAACAGGAATAGCCTTATAGCTGTAGTAGGACTATACACGGGTCATTGCAAATTGCGTCACCACATGAGCTGGCTCCGCATGGCGGAGGACGCTGAGTGCAGACCGTGCATGGAGGGAGATGAAACGGTCGGGAATGTATTCTGCAGATGCCCTGCAATTGCCAGAATCAGGTACAACCTACTTGGAGACGTGGTACTCCAAGCAGAAGACCTGAAGGATATTTCTCCAAACAGGTAAGCGGAAATTAAAAATTGAAAAAAAATTGAAGAGCGGACGTAGGGCCTGGCGGCAGTTGACCAGAACTTGGGTGGGATACGGCTAGGAGGGGGTTGTCATGTCTACGATTCAGGTCTAGCAAGGTAATTTTTACATTAAGATGCAACAATATTTACTATTTTCTTGAAAAAAAAAATGGTGTCAAGTAGGTTGGCTCTGCATCTACCACACAACACCGTCATCAGTTCAGAAAGGCTTATGTTCACCACAAGTTAGACCATCTGAGAAAAAATTTAGTTAAAAACATGAATGAAAGAGGAATAAAACAGATCCAGTCAGTCAAATAGGTCCACCCAATTAGTCCATAGACATTTTTTCCTACTCTACCGGTAGTACCGTCCATCTGGCAACGTCGTCTCACCTACACACTTGACTCCGCGACGCGTCACCGCGGGCCGCGCCAGTAATGCTAGGACACTTATCAAGGCTGGCGTATCGAAAACTTTTCATTTCTCATCATTCTAAGTTGGAAAATGTACTGAGAAATTTAGGAAATGCGAAATATGTCTAATAGGTAGGTAGAATTATTCGGGGATGGGAGCGTATAAATATACGGCCATCAAAAATTGAGACATAAGGCTAACCATATAGTTTGAATAATTCGCACGAGTGGATAAAATACCATGCAATTTAACAGACGTCTACTGAAATTATAACGATAACCCATTGTAATAAAAAAAACACACCAAAAACGCTGTTATAGCTCTAACCATCACGCACCTGGATTTTTCCAACACCTTTTTCTTATTTTTAACAGGCCACATGTTGGCCACGGGTAACATCTTCAGAGTCGTAAATCAAGGGCAAAATGAACCACCGAACCTTCTTTACACAAACGCGGAAACATAGTTAAGAGACCGCAACACCCCTCTTGTAAACGTCATCACTACATTACACATCACTTATCACGTTATATTTCGTAATTTGTCATTCCGTTGTAAGCCTAGTTTGCGTACACTTCGACTACCAAAATCCGAGAAACACTTTGGCATGTTTACACGGTCGATACATAATCTTATCTGAGTTATCAGCAATCAACTATCCATGGTTCGTAATTTAAAATGTAGTTTTCGTTTATCGACATTGTATAAATAATTGAGAAATGTAATGTGGCAGATCTCTTGAGATACCAGGGCAAGCACCGAATTGCCAATATACTCACAAAAAAAGAGTGCTCATGATTCAAGAGTAATTATCTTGAATTGAGGATATCTGAGGTTTGCAAGAGCTATGTTTATGTAATTTTATTCACAGTCGTACTCCTAAACCAAAGCACTCTTATTTACAAGTTTTTATTCAACTTGACTTACTTGTTTGTAAGTCTGTATGAATATGTAGGAGAAATCTTGAAACTGAATTTTGTACCAGTTAACATTAACCAATTGAGCTGAAATTTTGTACACAGGTTTGTTTTGTGTGACAATACAAAATGAATTAACTGCCGTCATTTTGAATCCAATATGGAGGATGCTACCAACTGGCTAAATATTACTATAGTAACCCCTTATGGATATCAAATGAAAGGCTTGATAAGAGAAACATAATAAGTAAAGTGACGTAATTCTAAGTCCAATATGGCGGCCTTCACAAAATGGCGATTTACATTTTTCACAGTCACCCCTGATATGGATATCAAATAAAGAAGTTTGATAAGAGAAACGCTATAAGTAAAGTGAACTCATTTCCATAGTCACCTCTGACCTATGAAGTATCAAATGAAAGGGCTTAATGAGCGAAACAAACACACAGCGTCATTCTAAATACGATATGGCCAAGTTTTATGTAGTCCTATTAATACAACATATGAAAGTTACATATAAATTACCAATCTATTTATTTCACATCATAAATATTTAAAGTTTTAAAATAAATAAAAGAAAAAGGAACATTTTTAAAAACAAACTTTTATTTAGCTGTGCAAAAAATTAACTAGAAATTCAAAAATAAAATAAGTAAAAAAATATCAGAAATTCCAATATAATACATACACATGGTGATGCTTTCGGGTAGAAAAATTTCTCAAAATTTTGATGAGACCACAACTGAATGGCCGCAGCACTCGAAAATAATGAGATCAATTAGTATTTCGGAAGGAAAACGATGGTAAATAATCGCTTCCAGCTCTCACATGCACCAATTTATTGATTGTTCCATTCATTGGAATTCTTTATGGACCTGAGCGTCTATGAGAGTTTCACAGTATTGTAAAAGATTTCAAAATAATTAGAAAAATGAGCATTTTAGGGGGAAAATAAGTAAGAACGAGTAGCAAAGAAAAATAATGAGTAGCCGAAAAATATATGAGCAATAATGAGAGCTCGTGGATATCCCGACGATAGATGAAAAGTCTTGAAGCTGCAAAGTAGTGGCCAAAATCGTTTAAGAGGTTAAAACCCGTCCACGTTAGATCTGTATCTATAAATAAAATATCTCCCACTGAAACACCCTCTTTAACACAAAAAGGTACAAGCTCCTATAACAAACTATTCTACAGAGCTCCCCGACGTAGATATAGGCACCTAAAGGTTCTCTTAAATAATTTCTGACTTGACAGTGATGGTGTGCATAGAGAACAACTAACATTCTTTTAATCACCAGTGAGGGAGCCTCGGTAGCTCGGTGGTTCGCGCGTCGAGCGTCGCGGGTTGGGATCTCCGCCTCGGAAGTTAATTTCGAGCTATTGATGTGTTGTGTGTTGTCTATATCATGCAGGGCGCAATATTAAGGGTATATTCGTCTCATCGCTGGAGCTGGTTCATTATATCAGATACCAGCAGAAGGATAGTGGAGTGGTACAGTGTTGATACTACGCAGTCGGCAAAAGGAGTCAAAGGTAGCCTGGTTCACGAACTGTTTGGGAGATAGGTCAGCTTAACACAAATTTAGAAATGACAACAAAATATTACTAAAATTATTGTCTGAGACTTAACCTCACGAAAACTAAATCTTGTTGTATTTATTGAATCGAGGCTAGCTGTTCCGAAATTCAAAAAGCAATGAATGCAAATATACTTTTAGATGGCACCACTGTTCAAATTGTACAGGAAACAAAATGTTTGGGAATACTATTAGATACAAATTTATACAAATTTAAGTGCTCAATGTTATTATAAATATAAAACGCTTTGCAGATATAAACATATTGACAAGTGATATTAAATTAATGTTTGTCAACTTATTGATACTTACGCATTTGGATTATGGTCTCACAGTTTACTATAACTTCTTAAAGGTCGTCTGTCACGATTCGAAATCATTTTGTGCTGAATTCAGTGCGCTAAATTTCGTACAAAATTAAAGATAGTATCAAACAGCATTTAGAACATAATTTTGTATGAACAAATTGAGTGCTAATTTTTTTAACCTGTTCTAAATAATATGCTAAAAGTAGGCTAACGCCTACTGCGCATTTGGACAATACAAGGGCTGCTAGAAGCGCTTCGTGACAAGGAATTGCATATTTTATGTAAACTCCTTGATATTTTCTTGCTGTTTTGTGATAATTAGATGAGATGACAATTGAACAGGGTTGCCATATTGCGGGATTTTTACGTCACTTGGGGAATTTTTGGCGGATAAAATGTTCTGAAGGATTTCTGTGCTTGGAGGAATTATGTTTGATCCATCCTACAATCCTATAATCCAGTGGTTCCTCCACCATGAGCTCTTCAATCAGTATATGGAGCACACCCATGACTCTCGTCCCTCTTGGGATCCATTTTTGACGCCAAACACTTTTACGGTTTCGATTACTTAGTTTTTTCACGAAGTGGACAGCTACAACGCAGATAGGTGCTGCTGCAGTCGCATTTAATATATACGAATTACTGGATCGCTCTATTATCTACAATTTTATATTCGTTTAAAGTAATGAAGGAATAAAGCAACGAAAAGTGTGGTTATAATGACTTTGACGTGATAAATGGCAGTTGGAAGTTGAATTTATTACAAAAATTTCTTTACGTTGAGACAGGATTGTAATTGGTAAAAAAATTGGGAACCAAATTCAGTAACACATTTTTTCACAAAATTTGATACCGAATTATAACAAAATTTTGTATCGTGACAGACGGCCTTAACAGAGGAAATAAAACAAAAAAATCAAATTTTACAGAATCACTGCGTAAGATTTTGTTATAATGGTATAGGTAGACAAGAACACATCACTGGTTACTATGTGGGAGAAGATATTTTAAAATATAACTACCGTTCATTTATTTTTATGGTGCTATATTGTGTAAAGTTTCAAGATATACACGTAAATCTCCAAATTATCTGTATAATCTTTTAGAGAAGAGATCCTCTGTTAGCCATGTTTTTCTAAGAAATGATGACTATTATTCTCGGACATATTACATCTAAATTAGAAGAAGGTACTTCTCCAGTTACAAGCTTCTGAAGCAACGGATTATTAAATATTATTAACATTGTATTACATCGGTACCTCAATTTTATAACATTAGAGATAAGATGAAACTCATGACGTCATGACTATATGTATATAAAATAGTTCCAACTTGCAGATTCTGTTTGTAAATGCTGCAGGCGACGGTGAAAACGGCAACGCCAATCCTCAGCCTTTTAGAGTGTTTTTTTTTATATTGATCTTTATTTTGTATAAGTACACCAATAAACATTATTATTTTGAACTTACCTATTTATTGCGGGATTATGTTCGTCCCCCCTAAGGTGGTCTTTAGCTCCGGCAATGTCTCCAGGAGCAGAGCTACTCCCAGATTCCGGAGATGCGACCTCCTGCTTGGCGCACCCCTCCTCTCGGACCGCATCCGGGCGGCGGTCGGAACCGCTGCGGCTGACGGGCTGACCGCCGGTACCGCCAGCGCCTTTCACTTCGCCTGAAAAATAAAAATAAACAAGTGTTATTCTATGTGAAGTGTTTAGCCAAAGAATATAAAATTCATAATTTAAAACATTGGCAAGAAAATCTGGCCACCCACGGATCCGGTAATCTGTAGCAGTGGACCAGCTGTGGGCAAAAATGGGAGGGTCATGTGATACAGCAGGAAACCTACTCAGAACGATAGTACTACATGAAAAAATAACTTCTAGCACTATGCCGTCTCTTGAGAGCTGTACATGTAAGTACAGGGGAAAATTGAATTTTCTGTCCAGAAGGGGGCGGAAAAGTCTAAATGATTTTTTACGGCTTTCTTTAGTATCACAGATGCCAACAAAATTTTAAATGTAAAAAATTACAGAAAGGTAACTGTAACAATGCCGTACGTTAATTAATTAATTTTTCCGCATAGAAAATTTCCTGAAAATTAAAAATTTTTTATGGCTACCGGCACCATTATTTCCGTACGGCACTAAGTCCATCGTAATTATTTTGTTGGCATGTGTGATACTAAAGAAAGCCGTAAAAATCATTTAGTCTTTTCCGACCCCCTTCTGGATAGAAAATTCAAATTTCCCCTGTACTTACATGTACCGCTCTCAAGTGACGGCATAGTGCTAGAAGTTATTTTTTCATGTAGTACTATCACATGACCCCCCCATTTTTGCCCACAGCTCCCGGTCTACAGAGCGTTATTCGAGCCACCATTTGAACAGAGTTGTTACAAAGATATGAATCCGAGACGCTTTTTTAATGCATTTCGAACTGCGAATGAAGGTTTTTGAAAGAGACGTTTATAGGCGAATTTCCTATACAACCAATCTATTGGCAGCTCATGTGACGCGGCACAGAGTGCGACATCCCAAGAATCTTGTAAGAAAATGGTATGCATAGAATAAAACCAAAGATGACACGCCATCTATGAGCAGTAATCACAGGTACTGCCCTCCCTTACGTGGGCGGCAGGAACCCATGTAGCTTCCTGGCATCTCTGAATGATAGTATCTGCGTCTACGAGGTCAGTGAATTGAGTCTGGCAACACTGGAGACGGTGGACTCGAGTGACATGCAAGGGAAACTTGCTAAACTTCAGTCGGCCTACGGAGATAGTGTTTTGTCAGGGGCCCAGGTTTTTCGGTGGTTTAAGGCCGATTCCGGGATCTTGTGCCTTCAGATCGTCGGCTGACAGTCAGAATGATCGGGGAAGAGTTACATTTGACTCACACCACCGATCACCAGATCAAGAACAACTGGGTGTTGCATGAGGATAATGCTTCTTGTGTCACATAGAAATGTCAATAAACGAGTTCTTGGCCAGTAAAAACATCCATGTGGCTCATAGCCTCCTTATTCGCCTGACTTGAGTCCTCGTGACTTTACTCTTCCCAAAGTCAAAAAATCTCCTGAAGGGAACTTATTTTGGGATAATAAAAAAATCAGTCACATCTCTCAATTTACAGACCTCGTGTGAAGCTAGGCGAGAAGAACGCACAACATAGGCATCTTATTGTCACAGTACCAAGAACTCACCGTGCTGTATGTATTGACGACCCATGCAAAAGTTACATAAACTAACATAGCCTGAATGAGATATGTTCGCTTTCCATGTCTGCGACCAAAGCCAGTATCCATGTTATTTCATACCTTTTAGCAATCATCAGTATGGTATAGGTTTAGTCATTTGGAGACAGATGACGAAAAGCAAACCAAAGAAATTGAGCATATTCACTCACTAGGACCATAATAATGAGCCTTAATGAACATGTGTAGCATCATCCACAGTTTTAACTGTAATATTTACACGATGCTTCACTGCAAATTTTACACACAACAATTTAGTTTAGCTATACAAAGAGAGGTTCCAAGTGATTTGCAAGAACCAGATATAGATCAAAACTTAGAGAGATTATTATATATCAATGTCAAAACCTCTTGTCAGTACCACTCCCTGCTATAAGATAACACTAAATGATGTATCATCCTCTTAGTTAAAAGTATTTCTACTCAATAGCTTCAAAAAATATTTAAGCAATACTTTAATAAGCTAATGTAAATGTAGGCACTCATCGGAACATACATACGCATGTAGAAAGAAAAAATAACTACTTATATAAATATTTCCTATGCAATCAATCACATTTTAGAGACAATGCTTAGTGAAGAGCAGTTATCTGATGTGACCTTGAACGTTATCTGCCAATAAATTAGCGGGATGCTGTACGCGTGCAATACCAAATGAAATTCTCTAGTCTTTTTTTAGACTCGACCTTGGAAAAATTTACAGAAATCCGGGCGTTTTATGTACTTTTCCTCAACTATACCGGAGAGAATATTGTTTTCAACCGATGAGCGTTCTCAATCATTAGATGCTGCAATTGGATGACGCCAATAAAGAATAAATTTCAATTTGTACTGGATTTCAAGTTCAAGTAAAATTGGATTGTGTTGATAAGTTAAATTATGATGGATTTTCCAATAAGGATGATTTCATCTTCAAATTGGATAAGACAGGTTGTATAGTATGTAACGTGTTGACAAAGTTATTTATTTGAAAGAATAGCATAGAATATGGCATGGGTCAACCGGTGGATTGCGGCTTATTGGTGAAGATCAGCGACTTCGTTGCAATGTATGTAAAAAAGTTGTTTGGTATATCTTTTTGGCCGACGATGTCATTAGTCCTTAATTTTTCGAAAACAATGTTGTTTCCTGTTTCCTTTGGTCTGAGCCGAACATGTCACGCTATAATAGGATACTTTGCTTCAAACAATTGAGGGTAGGGTTACCTCTCGTAAAGGTAACATAAATTGGTCACCAAGAATGTGTTATTTGACGGCATTAGTGGCAGGTCTTGGCCAATAAGCTGCAACCCACCAATACCATCAAAGCCAACATAACCCATCACTCAAATTCAACCAAATCTATGTCACAGTCATCAAAAATCGAACTTCGTGAATACCTCGTATACAACCTGTTTTAAACCATCTCACAATCGACGCTCTATATTAGAAAACCCTTACTGTCATGTAATATAGACATGGATCAAAAATCGAACTAAGCCAGAAAAAATTCATAGTCATCTTATTTTGTGTTCAAATTGGATATTATACTACTTCCCTTCAGAAAATGCCATTACGTTTAACGACGTGTGAAATCAAAAAGTTAACATATTTGTCACATATATGGCGTTGGGTTACGGCACAACAGCTCGGGAGAGAGAAAGGATGCACATTTCCCTTCTTTTCATCTCGCATGGCGGATTATGAAAGCAGTTGGTATTTGCGTGTCGCCTATTTATATTCTTATCTTGCTAAGTATTGAATATAAAATCATATCCATTCAAATACCTTGTTTTTTCTCCAAAGCCTGCTCCGCTTGCTCCCCAGCTTGCTCCTCTTTGTGTATATGCAGCCAACTGGGTTGCTTCTGCAGACTCCTCTGCGACCCAAAAATATCCCTTCCTATAGCAGCCACGTTGTTCATACTTCCGAACGCGATAAAATCGAACTCATTTCCCACATCTTTCACTCCAAACCTTGAAGCCACCTGCTCCAGAATCTTATTCCTCCTTGCTCTTAACAGGTTCAAATTGATGGCGCTGCTAGATTTGGACTTTGCTAACACTGGTTTGTCACCCGAGGCAGCGTCTACCACATCAGCAGATTTCAGAGCAGCTATGGACTTCTTCTCCAGATTGGACGTCTGCCTTGTAAGTCTAAAGTCAAAATGCGAGAGGGACTTCCTCACTCCGTTAGGAGTAGTCACTGCTACCTCATCTTCTGGAATCCTTCCGTTGACTTGAATAGACTTTCTGGGTTTCAACTTTTTCGCTTTTGTATCTGCTTCTAATTTCAACGATGCTGTATCATCGCTTTTCGTCTTGTAGATTCTTGATCTCACTCTTTTTAAGTAAGATGGTTCTGTAGTAGCTACAGACTCCCTTTTATGCACCACCTTAGGTGACTGAACTTTAGTGGCCGTATCGGTCTTTTTGTTCGGTTTGGCCTTATTGTCGACCTTAGTATTTGGAACGTTTTGGTTGCTGGGCTTCAACGTGTTTCTCTCCAGATTGATTTTATTCCTCTCAGTTACTTTGAGGTTCTCTGTACTTGCAGATAGCTTCATGCTACCTGGTCTAAACAGATCGCTGAATCTTCTGCCTTTCCTAGAAGGATCTGGCACGAAAAATCCGCTTACAGCTCGAGTTAAAGTTGGAGGGACTACCACACTCTCTTCTTTATTGACTTGAACACTGTCATCGATGATAAAACTGTCACTATACCGCTTCAACGAGCTGTTACTGCCACGTTTTCCTGGATCAGGATGTCTCAACACAACATCACCACACTCAATGTCCTTATTAATAACCACTGTATCTTTAGCGTCACCGATGGGCTTCCGACCTGGAGTGTTCAACTGAGCTCCTGTGGTACCAGTCCCTTTCTTTGAAGATCGGTGTCTGTTACGGTTTTTTCCGCTTTTCGAGCTGCTTACGCCTTCCTTGGGCTGCTCTACGTCCACACTGCTGCTGTCAACTGTCTGTTCGACAGTCCTGTCATTTTTGCGCTTACGGTGACCAATTTTGTTTTTGAACGTCATGTTTTTACCGCCAGTCGCTGTTGGGTCTACTTGCTTAGACCACATAGTTCACATAACATACCTAACGGGCTCTACATGGGGAAAAGTAGGATAGAATCGATTTCCCAATTTTTATTTTTGAATGAGCAAGTTCGATATCTTTTGGACAGAGGCTGAGATGCAAGTGCAGTAATTGTCAAAGTTTTAGTATGACTGGTGATTTCTCCCGATAGAAAAATATTCTTTCATGCACTGCTAGAATTTGTCTCAAATCACTTGAGTATTAGGGTGCTGAAAAATAATATAAAGCAACCGCAAAAACAGATTTCTATGCTTTTTCAGATTTCAGATTCTTGATACCCGTCCGTTTTCTTGGTAAAATGCCTGTCCAAAATATAATGTCCTGTAACCTTGTTATCTCAAAAATAAAACCGTTTAGACTCTATCCGACTGAACATGGAATTGAGTAGTTAGAAGCTGTTTGTATTCAATAGTGTTCTCACTCACTCACTCATTTTCTTTAGAGATTAAGATTTTAAAAATTCAAAAGAAAGAACTAAAACTTCCGCAAGTTTCAATAACTTACTGTAAACCACCGAGTTTTATTTTTCAAACCACTAGATCAGAAGAAATATTTTTTTGGCAATGTGCCTCAGTTTAATTCGCTTGATTTGATAACGTATATTTCACAGACATAGTATCAAAGATACTATGGAATTTTCAAACACTTAGTTCAAAAATCATTCGGACAATAACTGTATCCATGCTAATTCAACGTAAAACACTCAAAATACTTCACATTACTATATGACTCGTGAGGTTGATCAACTCTCATCACGTGATATTTCACTTGTCACACACTTTAGGCCACCATTATGTAATTTTTCATCGACGCCGTTGGATCTCCGAACTCTACTGAATACAAACAGAAGTTCCCTCTTCAAACCCCAGGTAAGTCCACATACGGGCTTCTGATCTACGACAATAATTCCATCCATTCACGTGTTTGGTTCAGAACTCGATCGTGCAAGCATTGCGTCCACACTGATAACAACTGTATGTCAGCGAGAAGTAATTAGCTTTGTGAATTGTGAAAAAGGTGACGTTAATACATTGGCGTATCATACGGTAAACGGAGAAATAAATGTTCAAGTTTGTTTTCAAATATACAGGTAGATAACATAAATATAATGGTAATAGCAAATAGCATGAAATCAGACTTCAAATTAAACTTTTCTCTAAAATGGTTAAATAAGGCGAAAAGTTATTCAGTAAGTTTTAAGGCGTTTGCTTTAGTGATAGCGAACTGATAGGTTCCTTGTAATTTTCAACTTCTGAATTACTGTATATATCACCAAAGTTTTGCAGAATATGTTAAAATACTTTCTGTCCAGACTCAACTTTATTGGTGACTACCTCTCCTCCACGAAGCCCATTCTTTCTATCATTAGAAGAAAATGAAAATGAAAATTTTATTAGTTGTAACTGCCACTTAACGGTAAACAGATTACAGAAAGCAAGGTATCAAATCAATTTTGTCTTTGAAGAAAGCCACCTTTTGAAATCTTATACCGTCTCACGGTTATGAACAAATCACTACCACCAAACATATATTTAAAGGACCCATAAACATATTTTTGATATATTAGTATAGACTCTTCTTAGGTTCCTCTACAATTTTTTTATAGACGCCATTGTAAGAATGTCGGATCTGTATAGAAGCCAGATAATAAAATCATAAAAATATACCATGAGACGACTATACGAGCATTTTATAGATAATTTCATTCCGTCATCGCTATTTTGATCTGTAGCTTGATATCATATATCAATCAGACGATTACTGTTCTATATCATATATACAAGTTTTGATGAAATGTTGGAGTGTATTATTGGTAGGAAACATATTTGACTGAAAGAGTTTTGGAAGGATCGCGTCGTAAACGAAGGAGTATCGAGACAAATTGGCAACAAGAAAAATAATAATGAAAACTGATCTGCTTACATTGAAAAAAATTGATACTACCTCACAAGAAATTAAATACCATATTATGACTCAAAATGAGACACGCAGACAATGAGATCTTTATCTTACGATTTAGCCAAAAAAGTTTCATTTTTATATCATTGAGCATATTGAGACATAATCAACGGACTCAGTACCTAGACTTCCTAGTCTTCAGAATGCCAGCTTCCACAAAATGCGAATTATATCAACTTTGGGCAAGTTGGTTTACATCTCTAGATATTGGTCTCAATTTTTTCTACTGGCACTTGATTGTTGTTAACACCCTTACACAATGCATCTACGTTCATCTTTAAAAAGACCTACCGACTCCCGGTAGTTCTTTCCGGGGACCTGCTCCCGGAAACGATTTTCTACATATGTCATTTTATACACGTTCATCACAAAATGGAATTTAAATTAAATCCAGATAATATATTTCCGAAATTTTGAGCACTGATGTTTGGGGATCCACCATCAAAACTGCAGGCATATCCTGCAGAATTGGCATTCGCGAACATGTGATTGATATTTCGTGTTGCATGGAATTTTTTTAGCAAGAAAGGTTATACCTTTGCGAATCAGAACCGCATCCACCACTGATTCATTGGCGCGCACAATGCAAAGAATAACTTCGTCAGCTGATATTTATTGTTGAATGCCAGCCATCAAGTAAAAAATAATGTAAAATAGCTGCATATAAAGCATTTATAACAAGCCGTACAGAATAGTTTCATACAAACCAGATTTGTTTTTATATTTCGATTGATAAGAATGCCATTGCAATTCATGGAATGGAAAGCTGTTCAAATCCTCATACAGAAATGACATATATCATTATAGCTTAAATCGCGGTATCAGTTCTGAATGGTTATGAACCGTTCGCGCCTGCGCAGTGTCATAAACAGCGTTCGCGGTACAGAGAGAACCATCAGTGAACAGTTAGTTCAGCGATCGCGGCACCGATTTGACCGGTTCTGAATTAGTCCTGAACTGGTTCTAACAGTTCCTGAATCGGTCGAAGGACGCAAAGTTCGCACATGCGCAGTTATCGATTATGGGCAATTTGAACGTGACCTACTTGTTTAGTTGTGAGTAAAAATTTTTAAACAACTTATTTGATAGGACACGTAGTAATGTCTGGTAAGTTTTTTACTGCTGTTGTAAATAAGCGAATGTATAGACTAATTTTACAGATATCAGTGATGCATCTGAGCACTTCAGCTCCAGCGATGATGATTTAGAAGAGACATTGGACCTCATTCAAATACCAAAGTGTGAGGGATATTTTGAAGACGTTGTTCGGCAAATGCCAGACAACGTATATTTTGACCACTTCCGTATGAGCCGGCAAAAAACAGAGTATCTTGCTGAAAAATTTGCTGTATCACAATACTTTTCAGTCGGCAGAGAAGGTGATTCAGAGAAAATTAGCGCACTGAAGTTTATAACTGTTTTTTTATGGTATGCTGGAAATGAGGCTTGTTCAAACAGAGATGTAGCCGACAGATTCAACATATCAGTAAGCAGCTTGCACAAGATTATAAAACGGCTTACGTATTTTTTGAGTAACCTTTCCCCAGAAGTAATAAGATGGCCAGATGAAGAGGAAAAAGTCATTATAAGCCAACATTTTACAGAAAATAACTTCCCAGGTGTGATAGGTGCTCTAGATGGTACACACATTAGAATTGATAAACCATCACAAGATCCAGAATCGTACTTCAATAGAAAAAGTTTCTACTCCATCCAAGTAATAAATATTGCAAGACTACCCTACAGTATCTATAAAATATCAAGTTACAATTAGATTTTGATATAGAATTAATTGTAGGCTTTATTTTATCATGACGCATGCACGCACAGAACCATTTTACAATATTTTTTAAGCATGCATGTTCAGGGATTTGAAAAATTAATTCTTATTGTTTATTTTTTTTTTCAGGTCCAAATTGTGTGCGACCACAAACGAAGAATTCGGGATATATTTCTGGGATTTCCTGGCTCTGTTCATGATAGCAGAGTTTTTTCAGCATCACCTCTTGGTGATCATTTGGCAGAGATGTGTGGACAGTATCATCTACTTAGAGACAGTGCTTATCCATGTCTGGTTAATTTATTAACACCTTTCAGGGATAACGGTCACCTCACTAGGCGGCAAAAAAATTATAACTATTTGCTTGCAACAAATAGGTATATTATTGAACATTGCTTTGGAATTCTTAAACAAAAATGGAGAAAATTGTATCACATAAAAATGCACAAAATTGCAGATATAGTTCATTTTATTCGAGCTTGTGCAGTCCTTCATAATATATGTTTGGAAGAGACAATTGTTATAGTCCCTGAAAATACAGAATTGCCAATAAACCAGGTCCTTGATAATACTGTAGATGACAACAACAGGAATGGGAATGAGAGGCGATATGACATCATGAATCGTCTTCCTATAATATTGTAAACGTCTTACAGAAGACCTAAGGGTTGTTTAAAAAATTGGAGTCAATTCCTCTAACAGGATCAGAGATCACTCGTTTCAAAAACATTTATCTTCCTTCATATGTGGACTGGAAAAAACCATAAAATTACCCCATTTTTTACTGTTATTCTCAGCCTATATGGGAGGATGATAAATGTTTTTACATAGTTGATTTACAGGCTATTGATCTAATAAAATGGTTCAGTGAAAAAAAATGTCAGTCTGTGGAACGGTTGTTGCCCTCGCACTATTCTCTTGGATTACATGAAACCTCAAAATTAAACTTTTTGACTAAACATCTAAAAACTGGACATTCAAGGCTTTAGATAACTTGTAAAACCTTAATATGATCATTTTTCACAGATACAGCGCTTCACTAAAATTTAAAATTGCTATTTGATCCCTTGATTGTTCCCATTAGTGTATTATTTTTCATGTATGCATTTATTTTTGGTTTATTCATATTGGATAGCCCACAGATCAGTACCTGAAAGGTGCATAAGCGGAGCAATATTTTTTATCTGTATTAGTCTAGGCCTTATTTAATATAAATCTGTTTAAATGATTTTGGAAATAAATTAATGTTTTTCATACAAACTTTATTTTAA